TTTTAAAAAAAAAGTTATCAAGCTCTTAAAAAATCACCCGTTATTATAAGATGTCTGCCAAAGTATAAAGAGAGTTTCTTAAAGAACTTTTTGAACAAAAAAAACCATCAGATGACAAAACAGATTAAGCTTAAAAAATCTGCATAATAATATTTAAAAATCGTAATAATAGGATTTTTGATGCCCTTTTTTTACTTTATTCAAAAATTACGAAAAACTTGAATAACTGGGCCAAAACTATTCTGATTTAGACTTTTGGGATCTCAGTAGGATAATCCGACGAATTGATACCCTTCTTCGTTTTTTGAAGTCGGTTAAAAACCGGTTGCCTACAGTATGTTTCGCCGAAAAATGTAAAAGGGCCTATGCCTTTCCACCAAATGAAATATATTTTCGAAATTGCTTTGCAAAAAAGAAACCTTGTGGCTCAGGGATGTACGACGAATTTTTTTTGTTCGCACCTAAGGTAGTAAGGATTAGTGCACATTTACCTGCATAATAAGCTTTGAACATCCATACATTTGTATGTACATATGTGCTTACCATCGTTGTCTTGCACTTCTGCTTAATTTACGTCAAATTTACACACCACACACTGATTGCAATTTGAAGGTAAAAAAAAATGTTCATTCAATAAATCATTGTTTTGCGTACTTCATACGAAATTAACAATAAAAACGAAGAAAAAAAACATTAAGTTCGTCACAAGCTAGAGCGTTTATTCGATGAAGTAGCCGAGAAGTCAATACCTTCTCAAGTGGCACTGCGGATGCTACTACCTCTTTTTAAAACTTCCAACCCTCTTCCTTCCTATGCATCGTACTGCTTTTGCTCTCGTTTACAACAAATTATGATAAGTTTCAGGTTTAACAACTTCAAGCATCATTTAAACTACAATGACCTCAGACAGTACAACAGCAACTGAAGCGTCTTCACTGAAAAACAAAAAACAAAAAAAAACCCCCAAAACAAAAATAGCCCCACATATGTATGTATGTAAGCATCATACGAGCAAGAAAATAACCAAATGTGCATTATTTTGACTTGGCTACTTTTGTTGCTGATGCTAATGTTGTCGTTATTCATGTGATTATTGCTACATACTTTTATTAACTACCTTTTGTTGCAACGACACAAGACGCGCACGTTGTGTGCTGCTGCTATGCGCGTCCGTCATTAGCGATCATTACGCGTTGTGCGTACACCAATAACGGCAACAATTCGACATCTTCTGCTTACCTTTTTCACATTTTTTCCTATAAATAGTGAAACGCTTCAAGTAAAATGACCTTCGATGGTAATTTTCTTATTTTTTTTTTTAATATTTTTTTTTTTGTTTTCTGTTGAAGCTCTTCACTTACATACTTTTGTTTTGGCTCTTTGAAAACTCTTCTTGCTGCTGATGATCGATAGCCAACGGACAACTTGACTTCACTTTTCATACATTCATACATATTTACTTCGTGTAATGCAAACCGAACAATTCAAAAGTGGTAGTAACAGTTATTGTTGTTTTTTTTTTAAACTCTCAAGATGCTGTTACAACTGTATGTAGTTGTTTTTGTTTGCGCGTTTTTTAAGTATTCCATTGCCGTGCGATTATCGTTAATATATTTTGTAGCATTCAACTAAAGTGTTGTTAGCTCCGCGCAAACGATGATGACCACAGCCAGTTGGTCAATGTCAATGTCAGGTTGAAGTTTTATTTGATTTTATTTGGCAGTTATTATTGAATTTTGTATGCTTCATTGCCTGCCAGTTGCTGTTGAATGATTTTATCATTAGTATTGACGATGACCGCATAAGACCGCATAGGAAGGCAATAAAACTATAATTACAACTAATCTTTTAATTTCATTACTCGCAAACTCAAATTTTAGATGAAGGGGAGCGTTAATAAGCGCGAAAAGAACTTGAAAATAAATTGATTTTTGTTGGCATATTTTTTTTGTATATTTTTTCCCCCTGAAGCTTTAAGGTAATTATAAAGTAGGGTTATAAGCTTCTAGGTAACTCAAATGAGTTGAATGTTTATAGAGAGCCACATATCTACATATTCCTGAAATCAACTGTAAGATGCATACCAATGTAGATGCTTTTTAGATATTGTAAATTAGTCTTTGATTTGTGGAATTTGTGGATTTCGTTACCAGGGCCGGACTAAAGATCTAAGCGCCCCGGGGGCGAGTCTTACAATTTGTCTTAGTTCTTCTTTAGCTAACTCTTCGATGGATAGCTGATCAAAATTACTTGAGACATTATTGAATGCATAGACTATTTATATAATTATAATATCTTTTAAAGAAATTTATGGGTACTTTGGAAATATATTCATATGTATGGTCATAGGTGACTCACAGTAAATTTTTTTCGCTATTTTCTAAACACAAAAACATACATAGTTCATTCCACATATAACTGAAACCACATATGTATGTATTATTGTACATCAGATTTTCAAACTTCGTACCAAATTTCCACACAATTCTAAAATCGTAAAAACTCGTCATCGAATCGTCAAAAAAGCCATGTCATACAAAATGTAATGAAAATGAATTTTCTTCATGCATTTTTTTCGAGATATTATCAAATTGAACAAATCAAAAATCATAAAGATCGCTGCAGTCGTTCTAGAGTTGTAAATAGTATAACTAACCCTACTAGGTTTTATAGCTGAACAAATAGCTTTGATGAAAACATTTTCGGTCCTAAATTGTCATCGAAAACAGGTTCTTTTGAACTTACATAGCTTTACAACTATTCAACTAATAAAATGAGTCGCATTAACTAACATTTAATTAATTATTTAACACAAATTGTATTGATTTTTGCAATCATCTGCTTACACTAAGAATTTTATTTGAAAATTTACATACATATTTAATACATAGATAGTAAGACCCACAATCGTTTATATATACATACATACCGTATATATTTTATACATTAGGAATTTCTAATTGAAAAAGTATATCATAATTAGTTCCTATTCAAATGCTTCAAATCACAAGTCAGGGAGAATGACAAAACTTGCTGCTATCGGCGCACACATTTGTATGTAGATGTAGGTATGTGAGTGCATTTTCGTTACTTGTTTTTGTATTTTATTTTCAATTCGTTTCAATACATTACCACTTCATGCCACTACTTTAAATTAACGTAAAATCGTTTCTGCAATAACCTTTGATTGCCACAAAAATGCCAAAAATGATGAGCAAGAATAGGGCAGCCAACAGCGGCAAAATTAAACTTTAAATGCTAAAATCACTGCAATCGGTTTCTGTGTTCTCTGGGGAGCTGCTGCGCCTAGCTGCGACACCATCATCAACTGGACCAACTAGTAAATGTTGCTGCAATTGCAATTGCTTTGGTTGCCACCATGTCAATGACGGATGTTGCACTATCATCGATGGTCTGTTAGATTGTTGTAAATGCCGCGCGAACAAAAGATCGAAATCGTTGTTGCTGGCGCGCGCTGGTGTTGGCAGCAGTGATAACTGCCAGGCAGCGCGCCGTTGCGCCTGCTTTTTCTGCCGTGGTTCATTTTGTAGTTGTTCATGGCGCAAATGGCGGCCGTAGAAGCGCAGCGCTGATTTGGTTGGTTGTTGCTGTTGTACTGTTGCTCGTCGCCGTTGATCGTAATGCAATTGCTGTCGAATTGTTTGTTGAGGCTGCCTTGTCATCGACAACATTGAAAGCCAATGATTAGCTGCGGGCCTTGTCGCAGCGGCGAATGTGCGCGCCACGCGACGCATGCGTGGATCTGTAAATGCGCCGGGCACCAGCAGCTGTTGTGCGGAAAATATTGCAGGCCTTTCGTCCATTGCGGCAGCCAAAGTGTCACGCGCGTCTATTTGTGGCACCAATGATGTGACTGATTGATCGTTCTCATTAAATAGATCTTTTTTTATAGCTGTGTTGCTCTGCAGCCAGTTAACAATTGCTGCGACGGCGGCGGCGTCCTTTCCACCATCACCATTGCCATCAACAACAGCCGCTAGATTGTTGTCAATTGTGTCACTGTAATTGTTGCCGTTGTCATCGCTGCTCTTGTCAAACAAAATTCGTATCGTTTCACCATCATCAGCGCCTGCGTCCCGCCCTGACCCTGCCAAGCCAAGTTCATGCGGTTGCAAATGTCTCTTCCGACCGCCCTGCATGCGGCGTATGGCGTCTCTGACAGGCGGCGCTGTCAGGTTGCTGTCATCGTTGCCATCAACTTGATTGTCTAACAACCGCACGCTCTCCTCACTATCGCTGGCATTGCCTTCATTCTCACTATAGCTTCCCGTCACCTCGTTCGCCTCATCGTCACCAGGGCTACGCTGCCATTGGCCGCCAAGCGCCAACGTTGCAGCCTTTGGCGGCTTCAACTTTTTACCGCGATTCGGAAAGAACAAATCGTCATACTTGAAAAGGTCTTTGATTTTGTCGCGTTTGCCGCGATTCGGCACAAATGTCTCGTAACGATTGAGCAATGCATCCAGATCGGGCAAATTGTGTTTGCGACCGCGCGGCGGTATGAATGGATCGTCTTTGTACGGCGGGTCTGTGGAAAAAGTGAAAAAAAAATATTCGTGCATTACATCACTACAGCTGGTATCAACCGAACAAACAACGCGAACACTAACATCTAAAAACAACAAAGAACGTACAAGACAAGGCAATCAAGTATTGCGCTTTCATTTGTAACGAAATAGTTTGTTGCAATCATTTCATGGAATTGTGCCTGGAAAGTGGTTAAAATAAAAGTGCCAACGTACTCTCTAAGTGCAGTGCCATCAGTATTTGTGTGTGTGTGTTTGTGTTTTTTTTTTCTATTAATTTTAAGGGCCTGAAAGCGGGTGTGTGTTAAAGCCTGATTTGGCAACTTAACGGAACGTAGAAGTTAGAGAATCATAATGAAAAATATTTCGACATGGCATTAAGTTACGTTAAGTTTCGGCTGTTCAGTTATAAGCAATACCCATTTAACAGAATTTCTAAGAGAGAACCGTAAGTTACGTTAAGTTGCCATAATCAGACCATTTGTGTATTGTGTAATTTTATGTGACTTCAACAAATGTGAGCATTCTAATTTTATGCTCGAGTGCAAGTGGAGTTTTATGAGAACACCGCATGGCGTGCGGAAAGTGGCATATGATTAGGCGATTGTTAGACACACTGCGCCGCTACTGTTTATATGTACATACATATGTATATTGATGATATTAGCAGAGCAATTCTGGCTAAGATTTTTTTTTATTTTGGCACGAAAATCTTCACAAAAAACAAACTTCCTTGCCAACTTTCATGATGGAAAACGCTTTTGACAGAAACCACTTCTACATCATTTTGTTCGCGATGCTCCAACACTCGGATTGGCCGTGTGATCAAAGCACTCCGAGAGATCCGAGGTTCGAGTCCTGCGGTAAGGGACTTTTGCTTTGCTTTAATTTATTATTTTTTGCTAAATTAATTTTCCTTTAATTTATGGATTTTTTCGTTTTAATAAGAAAAATATAAATACTTTTTCAATTAAATTTAATTTTTAGATTTTTGTTTATTTTATTTTAATTTTTTATTTATTTTTGATTCAATTTAGATTTTGTTTTATTAAAAAGAGAAATAATTTATTAAATGTCAATTATTATTTAATTATTGTTATATATTATATCAATTTAAATTTTTTGTTTTAATTTAATTTAATTTTTTGTTAAATTTTATTTTGGTTTTTAAAAATTTACGGTTTTATAAAGAATTATATTTTTTTTTGATTTAACGTAATTTTTAGAAACTTATTTAATTTTTTATTTATTTATATTTCTTTTAATTTTCAGATTTTATTGTTATAAAAAGCTTTTTGTAATACTATTTAACTTTTGGGCACTTATTTAAATATTTTGTTTTTAAATAAAACAATTTTTATTTTTAATTAAATTTTCTTTTAACATTTAGTTTGTTATTTTAAAAAGAAGAATATATTTTTTAAATTCATTTTATTTTTGGAAAGCTTACTCTAAAAGACAGGCAGAATAAAGGTAAGACCTCGTTAGCAAATATTTCAATTAGGCGTTCGAAAGATTTTAAAGACATTTGAAGATATGTGGTTGTGTTTTTCTTTCGAAAGACTGTGGAAGACAGTTGCCAGAATTGCCCTGTAAGTGCATATTCATCGATGCTGTATTTGCCAAGCTACGAGTGTGCGCTCTTACGTCCGCAACTTATTGAATAAAGGATCAGAATTTTATACCCGTTATGAAATTTTTGGAAAGTGTGCGTGGCACCACCCATTTATGATGAAATAGTAGCCGCTTTGCCAACTCTTACCAAACTCGGTTCGAATTTTGCCTAGGATCTCAGCAATAATACTAATCAGTCAATAACCACGCCCACCGCCATTATAACGTTAATGTACAGATATATTTCTTTCTAAAGAAAATTCATCTTGGACATTCTAGTTATTTTGGAAATTTTTACCTTGTTCCTGAAAACAGGGACCGCTCCGTAGCTGGACTTATACGACGATAAGGCGAAATAATTTCAGCTCCTCCCTCAAGCTGCCGGGCAAACTTGGCAGTACTGGATAGTTTTCGACGGATTTCGCCGTCTACTTATTTCATCAGGACAGAATATTTATGAACTAAATTAACTCTGCTGGCGGGCTCGCCTATGTGCTTACAGCGCACAATGTTTCGACTATAGGGAGGTAGGTAAAAAAATATAGTAAACGTGAACCGATTTCGCTGAAATTTGGCATGCCCACTAGCTTTTCTTAAGAAAAGAGAATTATGAAATATGGCGAAAATGGGCTCATTCCACGCCCACAACCGCTGTGGGCGGAAATGTTAAATTTCATCCGATGTCAATGTATTAGTTTGTACTGCGTCTTTTGTTTGAAAAACCTGAACACAGCATATGGGCAAGATTGGCACACTATAGCGTCTACAGCTCGCAAGAAGTAGAGACCCAGTCATTAAATGTCATGGAATTTTGGTTAGTTTTGGTTTTCTGCTTACCACTCGCGGAAAAACAAAGGCTATATTTAAAAATTCCGTAGGTGTAAATATTTTTATTTCTCCAGATTTTCGGATGATTTCGGATGATCGAAAAGTTCTTTTCACGAAATTACGCAAAAGAAAGATCGAAAAAATAAGAAATTCCGAAATGGCTGAATTACATATATATTCGCCAGCTACATGAAATTCTCTAAAACACGCGTCTAATTCCAAACACTGACGAACTGGTACTCAAATTGTTTTCACTAATAATCTTAAGGATGTACATACATATCAAAGTCTATATTATGACAAAAAACAGGGGGAAAAAATACCAAATAAATTATAAATATCTACCTTCACATAAAAAATTCATGACATTTATGTCATCAATTAGACTTAAAAAAAAAAAACGCTTTCTTGTTTTTTTTTTTTTAATTTACTGTTCGTTGGGAAAAGGGGAGCTTGAATGGTGTTGAATTTTGTGAAAATTTGTATTTAGGACTTTTACTTTCCTTTCTAAGATAGGGAAATTTTTCTATCCACTGGCACCGTGATTTGTTTCTACCTACCTACCGCTTTATATGCAGTCAAAACATTGTGCGGCATAGTGGTACAACAAAAAGCATCGAATAAATAATACAATTTTCTCACTGGTATCTACTTATTGTGTCGACACCCTGAAAAAGTCAGCTTATATATATTTCTCTTAACTCATAATTGGGTTATAGTTACATTATTTAGTTAAAGCTACCAAATCATGTGTTCAGAGAAATGTTTTTATGCTGACTTTTTTCTGAGTGTTTTATCTTTATTCACAACGTTTGCTATTGCAGTTGCATATATACATATGTATATTATTTTTTTATTCATTTATGTCCAAAAGCCTTCTGCATTATTTTTCTCAGCAAATTATTCCCACATTTAATTTTGAAATACTTGTCACATCTCTCAAATCCGCGCGTTGAAATATTAACATCAGCTGTTTACATAATTATTATTTTTTTTTTCCTAGTTGATTTAAAGACTTTACTTCTGCTACAAATTCTCACAGGCACTAAAGTTGAAACAAAAATGAATTACCAAATAAGCGCAAAGACAACTGCACGACATTTCTTTTAATTATTTTTGCCTTTTTTGTGCCACAACATATTGTATTTAATAACTGTAATACGCAACATGCATTTTAAATTAACCCAAAAGCATGACGATGCGATATAAATAATTATACAAGTGTGTGTGTGTATGTATCAGTAAAAGGGTATCAAGCGCTGTAATGCTATGCTAGCTGGCTGGCTGGCTGGCTTACTGAAACTGGGTCTGACATGTGAATTACATTAAGGGAGCAGCGCCACATGAACGCGAAAAATTGTGAAATTCAGCTGGGCCAACACAGCGGCGCGCGCGCGCACCCAGATCAGATCCAGTGTTCGATAATCGCATAAAAAATGCGCAGCCAACTAAATAAATGCATTGTATGTATATGAAATGAGAGGAAAAATAAAGTAAAAGGCGCAAAAATGCAAACAAACAAAAAAATAAAAATAAAACAAGACAATTTTAAAATATCAGAAATCAAAATATGCAATTACAAAAACACCGTACATGGCGCGCATAAATTGAGCGCTAATGTGGGCGCGCGGGCGCGCTGGCACAGTAGTCATATAGCGAGTGCATACATGCGAACATATTTAAAAATGTTGCATGAGTTGCATCTATAATCAATGTATTCGTATGTAGTAAGCGCGCATGCGCGCCCTATACCGTAACAAACTCCACTTTTTGCGTTGGCTACCAATCGCCCAGCTACTCTACCTCATCGCTTCTTTTACTTTATGCAACAAATTTGTTGTTGTGGTTGCTATTATTACTAGTACTCACCCGATTGCAGATCCTCTTCTAGCGGCTCCCGCCGTACAATAACATAATGCGGCTCGTCTGCGACCAATGGCGGCTCAACGTGTCCGGATAAATTCAATTTCTTCCAGTTGTACATGCTTGGGTGGTAATATTCCGCACCACCACCACCACCACCGCCACCGCCGCCGCCGCTATTGCCGCTCACACTGGCAAAATGCTGATATGGATAGAGCTGCTGCATGGCCCAACTCAGGAATCTCATGACATCTTGTTCGCCACTGAGCAGCATTAAAATGTCATTGCCGGCATTGTTGTCTTCATTGTCATCGACATCGTCGTTGTTGTCGTCGTCGCCACCATCAGTGCTCGCCAAGTCAGCAACCGCATCAGCATCGTTGTAGACATTATCTATCATGGCGTCATCATTAAAGTTGGCAAGAGGATTGTCGCCACCGCCGCTATGGCCGCCGCCGACACCGCCAAAGGCAAATGCATCTGCGCTCATATTGACATCATCATCATCATCAGCAGCAGCCTTGGTGGCATGATCACCAGCACTCGCGGTAAAGTCATCCATTTGCTTAGCCGCCCCGGCTGCCGCTCGGCTTCTATTGTGTATTGTGGACGCGCACATGCCCAAGCGCAATGTCCCGTATGCAGTGCAGTGCGGGTGTTGCAAGTCGGTAGGTAAGCAGCATAGAAGCACCGACAACGATGGAACGAAAAGAGAAAAGTAAGAAAATTACCAAATAAAAAAGTGCTGTACATGAAATATGCAAGATTGCCGCGCGCGCGGTTGTAAAATTTACAACAACAAAAAGCAAGCGATTGCTGCTGCCAATGATTTTCAGCCGCCTCCGCAATTTTATCTTAACATCTTTAGTTAGCTTTTTTTTTGGTTTTTTTTTTACCAAATTCATAAAAATGTAATCGACATGAAACGTTATGTTGCGCCACATATTGCCATACCCAATAACCTATTGTGCCCATTTGCCGACAAATGGCGCACCACATTGCGCGCCTCTCTTTTTAGTTCTGCTCTTAGCGCTTGCCTTACTGCCTCATTTTTCATTGCTGCTGCTGCTTCCATATATACTTACATGCATATCTGATATAAGTTTGTATACTTAAGCCGTAGCACTTGCGCTGCACTTAAAGGATCGCGCGTCGCGCATGTTGCACGTCCGCAATTGATGATGCCGTTGCCGTAGCGCGCTGTATGCGAATATGCGAACGGTCGCGTGGGCAGCAGTTTCAATTACACCCTGACTTATAGGTGCGTATGACTCGTACGTATTATTGTATGCGTCCGCTTGTATGCTTTGGTAAATGCCTAAAAGTTCATCTGTTTGTTTTCGCTGTTTTGAAAAAATAAATATTCGTTCAATATATTGGCAGCTATTTAACTCTTTGCTTTTAGGCAACGTGTGGGCAGACGACGCTGCATTTATCACTTAAGTACATTAGGGTGCCCCACCAAAAAATGTCTGTTTTTCCACCGGAGTTATACAATTTATTACATTTTAACACCCAAATTCATAAAAAATCAAGAAGAAGACTTCTTCAACTGCTTTATAAATCGAAAATTTGTATGAAAATATCACTTTATAGAGCTCTATAAATCTAACTTATTCTTCATGAATAAGGCTATAAGACTTTTGCCAAAAAATAACTTTTTTTAATTTTAAAATATTTTTAAAAATTTTTATGTAGACCTTTTAAGCTTAAGCTCGAAGAAATATTTTTTTAGAATTAATTTCGTTTACTTATAAAATACTCGATTTTTTGGGAAATTTTAAAATTCGTCATTTCACGTAACTCTTTACATTGTTGCACAAATTTTGAAGAAAGTCTTTAAATACAATATTTTCTATAACACCTATTGAAAAAATGCACCGATTATTATTTTTTTCTTTTTTTTTTTGACAGTGATGCACCTAATGTACATTTGTATGATTACAGACAGCCTGAACCTGTCTGAATGTGTGGGTTAACTCTTTAGTTAGTTATTTTAGTCATTTTCGGTTCTTAGGGTTTTGCTTTGTACGGCCTAAAGGAAACTGTTAAGTCTGTTCTGTGGGAGCGTTTGAGGTGTGTCTTTGGTAGCCCGAAGAGTATGTGCAATCAAATTACTACAAAGTTATCGGGTAAATAAGTATGTATACACCGGACTTTTTTAGTGTGTAGAAGAAATGCAAAAGAAATTTGTGAAGGGCACCAATATTCAAACAAGATAGTTAGGTACTTTAATGCTGTTATGCTAGTATTTAAATAATTTTTATTAATTTTAGAGATCAGGCAAAATTTGGGTACTACAGTCAAATTTCATTAAATAGAGGACTGGTATAAATCGAGGCAATATTTTAGAGCAACCCTTTTCAGGTTATAGTGATATGTTTAACATAATTCTTACACATAAGTATCATCGAAAGCCTTTTTTGTATATCAGTCTACCAGTTAATTGAGTTGTAATTTGCAAATGTCATAATTAAAAAAAAAAGTTATCTCGCTAAATAAGTATTAGTTTTTTGGATTTTGTTTTTTTTTTTAATTGAGGCTATCAGTTGAAGTGAGTACTAGCAAAAAAGTCAATAAATAAACACTCAATCATATACTGACTAAAGGTAATCAAATAGCTTATCGCTTAAATTTATTGGCGCCATCAATCATTAAACAGACTTGACAACGTAAGTACTACTTGCTGGAAGGTGAATGCTAATTTTAGCATAATTTTGCAATTTGTTAAAAAATAATTCTATGTTACTTGCTCCCTTGTATAATTTGCTTGATGCGTTTATAATTATGGGAGTCATTATAAAAACAAATGCAAATTGTCAAAATCAAAATAATATACAAGATTTTAGACGCAGGTATGTATCTTATACTCGTTGATTTTAAAATCACCTTTTTTGCTTAGGAAAATACTTTGACTATATTTTTGTTTTGTTAGGCATACGATATCTTGTGTACTTATTGCCCGAATCAGCTAGTTAGCGCATTCATTGTTACCATGCGAAAAATAAAAATGCAAATGGGACCAACCTCGCAGTTAGCGTGATAATTAATGAATTTTCACATCATCACAGGGCCCTTGCCTTTGGCTTGAATTTTAAAAGAAGCTTGATTATTAGACGCTATGCAAATGCGACCTAGTATGTATTTAAAATTAGTATTATATCAGCTTACATCTAAAAATTAATTGCAGTCCGTTAGCCTAGCTAAAACTAGAAAACGATTTTACCGATTTGAATATTTTTTTTTAATTTTGTCCGCTATAATACCCGAATACTAAAAAAAGACAAAAAATAAGAGAGTTGCCACGTGTTTGCATACTGTGTGAGTTCAAGTAAATTGATGAAATGAAGAAAGTTTTGCAATATGAGCATCATAACAAAGAGGCTTAAGAAGGCTTACAGCAGAATATATATATGAGGAGGGTTGCCACTTGTTTGAAAATTTGTATGCAATTTAATTATTAAGATAAATTAAGTATCACAATATGGGCATCAAACTAAAGAAATTTAGGAAAATTAACTGTTGAAAATATTTTTGAGGAGGGTTGCCATCTGTTAGAAAAAATTTAATACAATTAAATTGATAAAAAAAATGAATTATTCAAAACATGTATCGAACTAAAGAGGTTTAAGAATGTTTTAGAGTTCAAAATATTTTTGAGACAGGTTGCCACATATTTTAAAAATGTCTTTCAATTATATTTATATGTTAAATATTACAATACGGATTTCAAACGAAGGGTTTTTGAGAAGTCCTTGATTTAGAAATATCTTTAACAAGCAAATTCCCGACGTACTTTGCAGCGCCTGTAGTATTTCTAAAACAGGTAGATTTTTTCAAATTTGTTTCAGCTTATTATGGAAGACTAGTAAATACCCGGCGGACTTCGCAGCCGAGAGACGACATGGGTTCCTTGGTAAAGCAATATCAAGCCACAACAACGCCGCTGTCTAATCGGCTCCTGATAACATAAGCATCGAAGGAAACTAAATAGCTAATGACATAGCTAGACACAGCTTGAAAATGCAGATCAGCGAGGCGGATAACTCCCTACAATAGCCGATTCCTGCTCTACAGAGTATAATTCACGAGTACACCATAGCCGTAACAACTGATCTCCATAGCAATCAAGACGACTATGAAGCTCCAGTGGCTTTAATAGGAAATGAACTAGGGAACTCCTGACCGCCATTATCACTGGACACTGTGCTATTGTACAAATGCTACAACGATGTCAAATACCAAAAAGTTTGCTCTGCGGAAGTTTAGAATTACGTCAGTTAGAGGGATGTGCCTCCTGCTGGCACTCAGAAAGTTTTATTATATGGCAATTGAGAAGTTCATGCAAAGATTTCACAAATAGCATAAAGGAAATATTTTTGCACAAGCAGTAGTGCATAGCCTACATTTAGGTGATTGGAATTTCATTAAGCCTATATAGCCTATATATTAGCAAAATTCATGATTTTTATTTTTAAATTGTAATTGCGCTCTTTTTATTTGCCAATCACTTTTCATGCTTCACCACTTTCGCTTTTAGGCCAGAACGCTTAAACAAAATAAGCAGCTAAATTTCTCCACCTAACTAATAAGCAATTAATGAAGTGACGATGTGTGGCACATTTATTTGCTGTGCCCCGCAACTGAAAACCCCAAAATTTTAATGATAAATGATTTTGTGCGACTTAAGCTTCATTATCAACGATCACAAATGATTAATGTGCGCCGGCCGATAATTGTACTTGAAAAATGCGTTAAAAGCAGTGATCAAAGGAGAAGAAAAAAATCGGATAAGACTAGATTGGCGGAGAAAGAAAAAATGCCATGTATGCACAGCAAAAATTTCTACATTAATTTAAATTATTTTAAAACGATTTATTAAACACATAAACGGATGATTTCGCCTTGATTAATGTTGTCAATTCAACAGCAATCAATTCTTAAGTGCGCGGACTCGTTTTGAAACAAAAACGAAAAGTAGCGAAATGCAAGAAAAATTATATACCAACATAGCGCTCATACATCTGAAAAAAAACTAAAGAAAAAAGCATTGCGACAATGTAAGCTTGGCACTTTCTTACTTTCCTTTCACAAGCAATGCCATTTTTCAAGCCCACCGCTGCACTACACTGTTGTTGCTTTTGGCGCAGCCGCGCGTACACACACGCTCCCTTTCAGGCTACACAAATACATATGTAGTATGCACTCTTGTGTATGCAATTTTGCTGCTTTTTTGCTTGCAAAATTTTCACTCCTTCCGTTCGCATTGATTAATCAAAACCTATAATTGGTCAGGTGATAAGCTTTGCTTTGTTATTGTTTGTATGCCGTCTGGGCGATATTCGATGAAAAACAAGCTGTCCGCCTGTTGTTGTTCCGCTTGTGATCCGGCAAATAATTGCATTGCAAAAATATACGACTACAAAATTGGCGCCGTCTAAAAGTGATATGAAGTCGAAAAATACAATTTTTTATAAAAACTCAACACTTAACACTCAGCTACAAGCAGCGGTACACTCACCACTGTGTTGCGCACAATGAAATTAAATGTTGCGAAAATATCGCTAGCGATAAGAATTGGCGATAATCGGAAATTGGCGAATGACTTCATCGGATAAGTAAATTGCAAATGTCTGTACATAATATGTAGAGGTATAAGTGCTTGCAAATACATATGTCAGTACATGCAAGTAAACCATACCATATGTATGTATGCCTATATGTCCTAAATCTGGTATAAGTGTTGCGCAAATAAAATCACGCCATTACCTATATGCTTATACACTTATGTATATGCTTATATAAATATACTGTTCTGTGTACATATGTCTGACCATATAAAATCTTCAGCAGCCAATTTAAATGCCACTATCACTTGAAGTATA